GTACGTGTGTGTGTGAGACTTTAAAAATATACTTGGATATAAATACACTTATATTATTAAACGATTAATACATCTCGTGAGGTTTAATAAATAATTAAACTGTGTACACTGAGAAAAAAAGTTGTTAACTTAACTAAGCCATTTAACTAAATTATTATCTTTTTAATTGGAATATTTAACTATTATAAATCTAACATAACATTTATTTAACTTAAATATTTCGATATTTCAATTTAAAAAAAAATAATTTAGTTAAACGGTTTAGTCGAGTTAACAACTTTTTTTCTCAGTGTACGTGTGTGTGTGTGTGTGTGTGTGTGTGTGTGTGTGTGTGTGTGTGTGTGTGTGTGTGACTTTAAAAATATACTTGTATATAAATACAATTCTCACATACGTCACAGTACGCGTTAAATATTTCGGCAGCGAGCTAACACGTCATTCGACCTTGTGACGTCATTTGGCCTTGTGACGTAGCGCGCTATTGTTTACATACGCAACGACCTCCCCTCATTCGCACGGCGACATTCCAACGGGAGAAAGTAGCGATACGGACCGCTCCGTATTATCGAATTCTTTTCCTAAAGGTACGATCGCGATTAGATCGAAATATAATAATTCGACTATTACGAATGACAAATAATTAACTCTTATAATAAATGCAATTGTGGCGACGATAAATTCATTGAAACGCGATCTTTCATTATTGCAAATAAAAATTGAAGCGAAAGGGGCAAAAATTACAAATTTTCTCGCAATATTCTCCGATTATCGAACTTTACGAATAATAATTATTTCTTTAACATTGCGTAGAATGAAATTCGATTTCGCCCGATGTTTTAAACTTTCCTAAACTGCATGCATATATATCATATTAATTAAACGATTGCTGTATCATCAATTTACATTACTTTAATATTTTAATCTTATGATTCGCGTTATTATGCATATATTATACATCAACAAATAGAAATAGTTAATTAGTGTAAGAATCGAATGGTGCATGATTTTGGCTTCGTTTAAAAATCGAGCGAATTATTGTAATTTTTGTGTTCCTCTCTTGCAATAATAATAAAATAATAATAATGTTATAAAAATACGTATCTCGTATGATTATTTTGCGATCGGGAGTGCCGTGCAAAGTGTCTCGCGATCGTTTCTGTATATGACTGAAATATAATTAACTGAAATATAATTGTTTGTTCGCGAGTGAATACGTGACTGCTACGAGGAAACAACAAAGGATGAAACAACAATAGAAAAGGACATCTGGAAAAGTATCGGACAGTAAGAAAGCAGGGAGAGAGCCTGAAGCAGCCAGAGACATGCGGTGAGTAATTTATAAAAATTATTTATTATTTATATACACTATTTTTAAAATAGATATATATTGCTTATTATTTTATTATCGTTTTATTTTTCGATCATTTAAATATATAATTCGGATTGAAATGCAGTAAAACAATCGAATCGTAGATCTAAATAATTAACTTAACAAAAAGATCCATAAAAGATATATTAGTTCTTTTAATAAATAATATCGTATACTTAATCTATATAAAAATGAAATATTATCTATTTATTTCTAAATATTAAATACTATAAATTTAATAGTTATATATTTTGTAAAATTTAAAGAATCTTTTGTATAATTATTTTGTATAATTATTTTGTATTATTATTTTGTATAATTAAAAGAATCTTTAAGATATTCCAAAAGAAACGAAGAACTTTTCTCAACGTAGAAAAAGTTAATTATAAACAAATTTATATTTAATTATTATAATTAATTTGTATTTAATTTTATTGGAATTTTATTATTAATTTTATTGCATTGTCAAACTCTACGCGATCTCTGTAATGATAGCTATTCACGAAATAGGTACAGTGAAATAATCAATTATTATTGAAAAGAGGCAATAATATACTTTTAAATCTAATTTAAACTTTTGATAAACGATGTAAAATTTTTTTATTATGATGAGAAAATAAAAATGGAAATAACTTCACGAAGTATATTAATCGTTTAATAAATAATTAATCCGTGTGTACGTGTACGTGTGTGTGTGAGTGTGACTTTAAAGATGTGTGTTTAATAAATTATTAATCCATGTGTACGTGTACGTGTGTGTGTGTGTGTGTGTGTGTGTGTGTGTGTGTGACTTTAAAGATATACTTGTATATAAATACATTTGTATATAACTTTAAAAATATATATTTCCGTTATGTTAATTATCCAATTTTTATTCGATCGTTTTATTGCGCGTTCTGAATCAAATTATATTTAGATCAAATGATATCAGAGAGAATATTTATTTATTATATTAGAATTCTAAATGTGTGTGTATGTGTGTACACATATATATTAGGATAGAAACGAAATAGAAATAGAAGAATAATCATTGCTCGTAAAGATTGCAACAAAGTAATAATTTATAATGTTGATTCCTATCGTATAATCGAGTATCGTATTTCGAGAGCAATCAACTATTTATTAATAATAAAATTGTATATAAACGAATATATTCCACTTATTCCGGACGTTAATATCGCGACAACGACGAATAAACTTTTCAAAAAAGTTCAATTCAACTATTTCATATATGAGACAGTTCTACCAATCACTGATACAAAAAACTCGTCAATTGACCAGTTGATGAAACTGTTTCAGTCTGAGTATTTTCTTAAAAGAGCTGTTGGCGCACATACACGTGTATTATGTTTACGCGCGTCACGCGTTCGAACGAACCTTGATATTCTCGCGGGTAAAGTCACTAGATTAACAAGAGATCGTCTTAAGTTCGAGCTTGAAATGCTACGCAGCTATTTGATTGGTTGAATGAGGTCTTAAGTCAACCTCCAAGCAGACTTAAGATGATCTTAAATATAAGATCGGACTATGAATACCGGCCAAATTGCACTTAGTATAGATAGCTACACAAAGTGTGCACTATCTGCACTATCGGACGCCATTTTGCTCCAGGTTATCTTATTGAGATCAAAATTACGGTACTTTGTTAATCTAGTGACTTTAGTATTGACTTACAGGAGTTTGTAGGAGTTCATTATCGATAATGAAAAATCTTACATATCATAGTAAAAAATATGAAAAAATAAGGACAATTAATTATATGATATAAAAAATTAGGATTTAATTTAAAAAATATTTTATGAATTATTTATATCAGAGAGAAGAATTAGGTGTCATTGGCTTTGTAGTTCATGTCCACGTTTTTAATGTCCACAGAAGAAGTATCGTTTTCAGGGATCGCAAGGAATCACGTAAAAGCGGGCCATGATACCTCTCAAGATCATTCTACAATGGTCGTAGCATAAGGTTGTAAGGCGTAATCTCAAGAAATTGAGTATTAAGAGAATACTCGACTGTGATTGGTCAATTTTTTGAATCTTACGCCTTACAATCTTAGGCTATGGCCATTGTAGAATGGCCTTTAAAGCGTCGTCTACAAGGCAGTAGGATTAATGGATTAAGGCCCGGTTCCACAACTCGAGTTAATCCGAGTTTAATACGTTAAACTGGGTCTTGATTGATCCATTCGCAACTTTAAACTCGGATTAACTGGATTGTGAAACTGGGCCTAAAGCTGTAACTCAATTGACCAATCACAGGCGAGTATTCTCTTCATACTTGACTGTGATTGGTCAATCTCTTAAGGCTTAAGGTTTAAATTACCTATTGTAGACCCGCCCTTATGTATTCCAGGCTTTACCCCTCAAGCTTCACTCATTGCGTAAAAAGGGTACTTTATGTTGCGTTCATGTATTTTTTACGTCCATGGTGCAACAAAATGCGCAAAAAATGGAAGCCGCATAGCGGCATTAATGTATTTTCTGTACGAATTTCGAGTATGTCGCAGTTGTTTAAGCTACAACGATGGCTTCCGTCAGTGAGTACAATTATTATCTGATAATGTTGATAACGTGTCGTTGATAACGTGTCAATGTCAATGCTAAATACTGTGTGCGTGTAAATAACACATGGCGGCATGTTTATGTTGTAATTATTAACATAACAACAATAGGAACTGATACATCATTAACGAACATGGTGAAAATATATAAATTGCATAAAATCATTACTGCGCTTGTATCTTTGCGTCATTGCTTATTAATTAACTGTAATTACACGTATCAATAAATGTAGCTTCCGAAAAAATGCAGACGCCGATATCAGTCAGTGACGTAATTAGCTGAGTACTCTTTCGGAGCATTTGATAATCTACTAATGATTAATAATTTGTCAATGCACAAATATATGTAAAGTTTTGTCTAGACAATTACAAGTTCATAAAATTACAATTACAATATTTCTATATTTTCTTTAATATTGATAAGATTTATTGAGAGAGCTAATGGTTTCAGTTAATTGATTCTAAATTTTCTCTTTTTCTTCCTTAATTACATATCTGATTAGCAAATGATGTAATTAAAACTTGATCAAAAGATTCTTTAATCATTTACTAGCCGCTCTTACTGCGCTTGTTATAATCAAATGCTGATTAATAATATGGTCCAAATATTCTTTTACAAATAAAATCTAAAAATCTGGAAAAGAGGGAACTATCTTTTCCTATTTATATACAAAAAGATGTTAATATATTGCATGTGTATTCCTTTATATATAAAATCATGTTTCAGAGAAAGGAAATATGGCTAATACGAACAGATAATCTGTTGGAAATATCATTTGCATTTATTTTGATGGGAAAATTTTGCAATAACCTTTGTCCGTTATCATTTAGGGTGATCAAATATTTTAATAAAAATATTAATTAATTGAGAAACTTATATTTTTTATCTTTAAAAATAAATTTGTATAATTCTACTACTATTACATTTTACATTATTAAAATGATTATTTTTCAATATAAAATAAATTAATTAAACGTTATAATTTATGTAATTGATAAAATAATATTAAAAGAATTTATTTTTAAGTATATTTCTTTTTAGAAAATTACTTAATATTTTATTATAAATTCTTTTGGAAGAATATTAGCTTTAAGGCCCTGAAAATATTGGTACAGCTCTGAAGTAGAGGGCACTGTCATTCAAAATCGCGCTTGACCGTTGAGTTAGGCCCAGTTCCACAATTCAGTTAATCCGAGTTTAAGTAGTGAATGGACCAATCAGGACCCAGTTTAACGTATTAAACTCGGATTAACTCGAGTTGTGGAACCGGGCCTTAGCTTTATAAAACACTATACACGTTCCACTTGATGCTTGCAATGCTCGTGGAATCATTTCATTCTTGTTGTTCACCGAAAGTTAAATAAAGACAAGTAATACTCGTAACGTTGCAAACGACAAGTGAAACGCTCTATAAATGGACATTGCTGCGCAACTTTCCCGCCAAAATAGACGCAAGCGACATCTGTAACGGATCATGAATGTGGGCTTCACTGATATGAAACGTGTAATGTAATTTATTGTGCTCTTATTGTCTGGTAAATGTGTTACTCCTTTCAAGAGAAAGAATAGAAAATCAGCTATTTTTCATCGATAGTTTGATTGGTTCGTATTTTGAATCAGCAATATATATACATATATATAATTTCTTTTTTAATTCAAATTTTCGTTTAACTGAATTAATCATGCAACGGTCAAATTTTTCCTATAAGCAAAATATACTTTGCATAATATAACGAAATATCGCGTAAATCGAGTGAAAATGTGAATGTAAAATTAAATTTATTAGTGAAAATTACTATACCATATATGTGCTCTTTTATTATAAAATATTTTATTATTTTTTTCTGTAATCGTATATTTTGTACATTTTATTACATCTCAAAATTAGTCGATTATTTTTTTTAATTAAATTGTAACGAAGTTAATTCTGTTGTTGTTGAATAATTACTTTATTTATATTGTGCACAAATTTATTAATCTTAATGATAAGTTCATTCAAGTGTACATATTATTTTTTAATACATTTACTATACTCATACGAAACATATGACTCAAATATTTTTGTATATATAAAATCATACATTTTTAAAAATTGATAAATTGCTATTATATATCAATATAAGTTAAAAAATGGAAACTACAGTATATGCATTTTATATAAGAATAATGAGATTCATATATGTATATTACTCTAATAAAATATTATTTATATATTATATATATATGCATAAATATATATATTTTGTTTATAAATGATATAAATTCTGGAAACAAATTTTTTAAGTAGATTTTTATAAATGAAGATAGAATTGCTTAATTGATATATATATATATATATATATATATATATATATATATATATCTCAATTAAGCAATTCTACCTTCATTTATAAAAATCTACTTAAAAAATTTTTATATATACATATATATATTATAAATTTATTATATATTATAAATTTTTATATATACATATATATATATATATATATATATATATATATATTTAAGTTAATAACATTAATAATATAATGAATACAAGGCTATAAATAATTTTAAATGACAGCATTGTCAACAAATATGTCCAGAATCTAATTAATCATTTAAAATATATATGATATGATATATATTTTACATCATAGTTTTAGTTACAAAATATAAACATTTGAAACTTATCTACCCTCTTGATAAGCTAATTCTAAGTAGAGTTATCTTATATAAAGTCTTCTTGTGATACATTTTCTAATCTAAATTAAAAGTATATTTTTTACGTCTTCAGTACTAGACAGTGAAATCAAGTGCATTGTCTGTTCAGGTAAATCAACTCTTGAAGCTTTTATAAAAATGTCTGGCTCTGTTAGCAAACTGTATAAGCGGCCATTCACTGTATGTGTTGAGGGCAATATAGGAAGTGGTAAAACAACATTTTTAAGTCACTTCAAAAAATTTGACAATGTTACTGTACTGGAAGAACCAGTTGAGCTTTGGCGTGATGTGTCTGGAACAAATTTACTGGTGCGATAAAATATTTTCATATATATTAAGTTGATAGTATAATTATTTAATATTTTCTGATAGTGTAATTGATTTATGAAGATTTCATTATGTGAATATTAGAAAAAATTCTTATAGAAAATTGTTGAAGATATTAAACATTAAGTACAATATATGATGTTGATAGATTTTACTTTATTAAATTATGTATAATATGTGTTTAATGGCAAGTTTTTATATATTTAATAATGATAGAAATAACCAACATTATAATGATACATTCTAGGAATTAATGTACAATGATCCATCTCGTTATGCTTTCTTATTTCAATCTTATGTACAATTGACCATGCTACAATTACATACTTGCAAAATACCATCGCCATATAAAATTATGGAAAGATCTGTTTATAGTGCAATGTGTTTCATTGAAAATTTGAAGCGTAAAAATATATTGCATAATGCTGAAGTTACTATCTTAGAAGACTGGTACGACTGGTGTTTAAAAAATGCCAATATAGAAACAAATTTAATAGGTATATATAATTTTATATATTTTATGAAAAATTGTTATTATAATCAAAGAAGGTACATATCATTAATTTCCTTTTTTCTCTATTGTCTGAATAGTATACTTGAGGACAACACCTGAAATTGTGTATGACAGAATGAAACAACGAGGTCGAAAGGAGGAGAATGCAATTTCATTGGAATATCTGAAGCAAATTCATCAGATTCATGACGACTGGCTTTATCATCAAATTCTGAAACCAGTACCAGCGCCGATCATAATCATAAATGGTGATCGAGATCTGCATGAAATGATAGAGGAATTTGATAAGTGTAAAAATGAAATTTTTAGCAAAGTAATAGAAGATAACAATGCAAATAATACAATAATTACAGTACCACAAACAAATTGCGCGCTACCGGAAATTAAAACGGGAATTTCAGATTAAAATGAGTAGAAAAAGCAAAAGAGATGACTTTAATTTATGTGATTAAAATGAATGCCATGCATTTATATTAATTTTTGCAATACAAAATTTTAGACATAATATAATTTTGTTGTTGCATATATATTTCTTTTCATATTTTTGTATAATAGTAAATATTGTATTTGATTGATATATTTCAAAAATATTTCATACAACCACTACCAGTGTTTAAATTACAAAATTAATTTATAGTGGTTTAAAAACATTCATACTTTTAATAGAACAGACATTTTACTGTATTATTATTGACGCTTTTATTAGAGTTTTAAGAGTAAATAACAATTTAATGTGCATTTACAATTGTGTGTATGTGTAACATTAGATATCAGTTTTATTAATAGATAGTAAGACAATAAGTACAAAATAATATGAATCAGTTTTGCATATGTTTTAATTAGGAAATATAGATATCTCAGAGATTATACGCGTAGGATAGAACGATAAACATCTGTACAAAAAACTTGAGAATATTACGTGTAAAAAAGCGCGAATGTAAAAATGATTAGAAAAATTATTATTAATACTAAATATATGATAAAATTTTTTAATTTTTTTAATGGCTATTTTGTTAAAACATTTCGAGGAAAAATTTATAAAAATGTATTGTGAATATATATGTGTTAATTTATCTATAAGATATAAAATTTTAAAAAATATAAAAAGTATAATAATCTAAAAGAGAAAAGAATAAATTTATTTATTATTTACATATATATAAGTATATGCATATACATATGTGATGCTTTAATTTTAATACTAGATTTGAATGTATAGTTTTAAATATCTTGATTTTCGAATGTGTGGACTTGTTTGACTACAAAAGAAATAAATAAACTTTATAAGAGAGAATTGAATGTTTTTTTATTATAAGATTTTATACAGAGTGGATGAAGTGTAGAAATGTTGTGCGTACATTACAATATTACATGTAAATATGTGCATCGCGGAAATCGACATTAAATTCATCGTAATGTCCAGACATTATTAACCAGATCATGTTCCTGCTTGAACTACAGGTTCATTGTAATTCCGTGCAATCGAATCGAGCGAAGGCTAAATATGAATTAGCTGAGTCAGCAGTATTTCCGTTGCCAAATTCGCATTAGATGAATATGAATGTTCTTCGCGATCAAAATCATACATTGTCTATAAACTACGTGCTAAAATACGATATGTATAAAAATAATGGAATGCTATTTCGAGTAAAAAAAGATCACAATTATTCATGTATTTACAAATATTAGATTATCTGTGCCGCGTGCTTTACTAAAATGAATTTTTACGAGCTGCGGCTAATCTCTCGACACAATCGTACTCCTGACAAGACCATAATATACTGACTAACACGCCAAGTTGGGCGTCCTGTGTGTTAGCTTGCTTCCAATCGAGCAGCAACTGATAGATTACCTAGAAATGTATGATAAAAATTAACAAAAATGATTGTTATTAATTTCAAAGATTTATTTTGGAATATTGAATTTGACTCTCTTTTGAGTAATACTTAATTTTTCTTAATAATAATCGATTCATCCTCTTTTCTGAGATTACGAAAATCGCGAAAATCCATAATAAATTATTTGATTTTTAGAGAACGGTGTTAAATATTATATATTCACCTCATCGATACCCTTGTGCCTGTAATTTTCCTCGAATTGCTCGATCTGCCCGTCCGAATACGAGAGCCTCCTCGCGATGTCCCTCCATCCGTGTCCGACATGCGTTTTAATAACAAACATATCGTCAAATGCGAGCTCCTCTTTACACGTACTCAACTCTTCCACATTCTCCGGCATCGATCGGTACTTGGGCTTCGACCAGGAAGTTGCTTCTGGTTGTGCCGTGGATGCATTGTTACTCGCCGAATACTGATTTACATTGCATATATAGCTTGTCCGCGAGCCAATCTTCACTCCGTTCGAATTGACGATGTTATAATTTATGACGTTCGTGCCTTGCGCTAAAAATTATTTCAGATAATATTATTGAAAAAATAATCATATCATCTATATGTATAATTGGATAAACTTATAAGTAAATATTGAGATTAAGAAAATACTAACAATAAAAGATGCTTTTATAAAATCTCTTTATATAAATGTTTTTGTATTCATAAAATTCATTAAATATGTGCTATATTCATCGTTTTTGATAGTATAAAATCTTTCATAGTTATATGTAAGGATTATGTAATTGTAAAAAGATTCGCATTCTCTATGAATAATATATCATTAAGGCGCCTATGCATAATGAACTTTAACTTTTTGATATACATCAGTTTTCGATATTGAGGGAACAATATTTATTAATATAGACTCATATATTGTATTAATTATTCTATCATAAAAATTTAAAACAACAGTATAAAAACTGTACAATTTGGATCGAATCTTATACATCGTTGTTTAATAGATACAAATTTAAAAATAAGACGAATGGAATAATTTATTTGCGGTTTTCCTCAAAGCGCCAAAACATGGCAATCAAAAAAAAAATTATTTTATCTTTTTCATTTTTTTAATACTTTTGCAAACTTGTGACTTGGTATTCCCCGTTAAGTTTACAGAAATGAAATTAATAGATTATATATCATGATAACGCAAATATGTATCTTAGTCGTAAATATCTTTGTAACAGAAATGAAGTCAGATATTTTTATCTCATAAATTTTAACAAAATTGCAGTTTTTTGCGCAGTAATTTTGTTTTCTCCTATAATTTTTTTTTTCTTTCGAATTCATTAAATAAATATATATTCAATTTTTCTCTCCCAAAATGACTAGCGATTATCATTGTGTAATTTCTTTAATTGCATCATTTTTCCATTTGTGTAATAAAACTTATTTCCATTTACAAAGTTAAGTCTTGATCTAATCATAAAATACTGAAAAAGTCCTCCAAAGGTTTTTTAAGATATGCAAATATTATGTATGTATATTTATACAAATTTTTCCTTATTGCCCTGTCTTATAATTTTTCTAATCGTATTCTTTATATTCATATCACCTGTCCATTATAAAAAAAATAAACATTTATCTTCTAAGATATAATCTCTCTCGTTATCAGATCACCTGTAGCTTTGAAATAGCGCGCAATAGCACAAATAAAATGTTTGAAATAAAAATATGATAAAAATACAAATATTGTTTTTTAATTGTGGTGGGAATGACATATTTTAAGAATTATACCTCTTTTAATTTAAAGTTTTCAGTGTCCCTCACGAAAAATAATTTTGCAATCGTTTACTTAGCTTTTTGCTTTCATTTTATTAAGCCTCTTTTCATATAAGTAAAAATTTAAAATTAAATTATGCAAATAAATAATAAATTATATGAACTATAAACAATTGCATTGATATTTAAGTTATAGTGATTTGAGATATTCGATGAAAAATAATCTTTTGAGACCAACATGCTTTTAGCTTTTTATGTAGTTATTCTAACTTGTTATCTGATAATTTGTCATTCAAGTCTTATCACATAATTAACATATTTAGCGCATTCTTCTATCTTTCTAGAATAATATTCCTCTTATAACTTACAATATTTATTGTGTTTTGATTTCGTCTTCGTCCTTGGTCGTTTATACTCTTTCGACTCGCTCGTGGACTTTGTATCGCCGAGGTCTTCCGATTTCGTGCAAAAATCAGTGGGTGTCGTGGGTCTCGCGTCGTTCGGTACCGATTTCTGTTGTTGCATCGTAACGTCGTCATTGTGTTCCTTTTCCGGCGTGGTAGGTGCCGACTTAGACTGCGTTTTTCTCGAATCCTCGTCCGATGTCGGTGGAAGATTATGCGTGTAGCCTTCGATTCCGGTCCTCGGTGGATCTGGTTTCGCATCCGTCGTCAACATATCGTGAAATCGGCGCGGTAATTGAGACAAGATCCGCATTTTCTTAAGCGCTCGATATGCCTGATAAAGATGACGTCTCAACATTAGAATGTTTGAAAATATATTGCTGAGAATTCGTGATTTTACAATGTGTCTAATTCTTTAATGAAATTTCATCTATTTTTTTATTTTAAATATTTGGATAGTCTATTTTTTGATTATTGAGTAAAAAGAAGATCCATTACATTTACACATATACATTTTTTTATTTCAACATATGTCTGTAATCAGAAAAAAAGTGCGCGATTACGAGACACACAGTATAGATTGGCTTATATTAATACGCACGTGCTACACGCGATGTTATTCAAGTTTGCGACTAACGTCAAACCAGACACTCCTTTCATTGTTTTTCCTCGTTAGATATAGCTAATAAGCAATTTAGTAATTTTCTTAGAGACGTGCGTTTATTCAATTCGCGTTCCCGCATTAGCATAATAAAAGATATGATGATAAAACAGAAATGTCTATGAAAGCGTATAGAAATATGTATTTCTGTGAAATATACTTCACAAAAATATAGAGAATGCATATATTTTTGGAAGACAAAATTAATTTATTTTTTCCACATTTTTTCTTAATTTAATTTTATTCTAAATCTTTAATTTATTCTAAATCTTTAATTTATTCTAAATCTTTAATTCAATAATATTTCACTGTATCTCTTTATCAAGAAATTATAATAACGAAAATTGAAATAATATCTTTCAAAAATAAGTTCTCTATAATGTGTACATTGTCATGTATCATTGTCATAATTATATGCAGTCTGAAACGATCTATTTATACTTCATATTTCCGGCGTTATTATCAAATGCTTTATAATCATTCGCTTGCAGAGAATTCTTTGAAGATACGTCATTTTGCGAGCAAATTAGCAATATGAAAACTGAAGAGTATTATTACATACGTAAATACGTATATTATATATATTCTCTACAAAAATGATTTCATGTATCTGAGATGCAAATCTAGAAAATTATAAAAGTTATATAAAGAAAACATATATATTTGAATCTGCAAATATCGCAGAATTTTTACATTTTATCAAATTTAATTAATTTAACTGTCATTAGTATCTGTTCACAATATTTTTCAATATAAAATATTTATATATATTTATATATATTTATATATATAAATATTTATATATATTATCGAAATATATTACGAAACAAAAAAATATTTTAATTCTTGTAATGGAAACTCCAGCATGTTTCTCGTTCTTCTCACACTCCGCTAAAAAATCTATCTCGTGATTTGAATATTGAAAATTTCTATGTTTTGCATCTTGTTCAGTTTTATATTATCGATAAAAAAGAGCGATAAAATTCAAAGCATTACCACATTTTATATACGTAATCATCGTAACAAAGTTCATCGAGTCATCTAATTCTCCTCGCATTTCGCGATTGAAAAATTTGCAGGAAATTCCGAGATTTTTTGCTTTAATCGTGATAAAAGAGCCGAGATTACATTTTGACCTGCGGAATTTTTTCTGCATGCTTTGCCTCACAATTTCTAATCTAAGCGACTACTGCATCTAAAAATGTGAAGCATTCTGTATATTTGGTTCCATCTCTCATTTGCCTCTAACATGTTTATTAACATGACTTTGCTTTCTGCTCGTATGGACATGTTATCTCGTCAATTATACGCAGTGTCCTGACTAATTTCGGAACAAATCATTATATTTGATAAACATTCTCGATTTTGTTTTCAACTTTCGAAAAAATTCGAGATCGTAATTTTTTTTTATACAAAAAATGTAAAGCTATAATATGATGCTATAATAATTATTGTGATTGATATTTTCTTCTAATAATAAAAAGAAATAGTAATCTCATTGCTTGCTATTCAATTGCACAATCGATTTTAAAAGTAGAAGACTTTTTACCATTTTAAACTTGTCAATATGAATAATTACATTAAATTCATTAATTAATTTATATAAAAATTTAATTATTTTTTTATACTCATCTGTGTTAAAAATATTACGAAAGAGTATCGAACCAAGTGAAATTTTGCTACAGAAAAATAGTACTCAAATTTATAGAGAATACACCTCAGTTTTGATAATTGAATATTGAAAATCAACATGCTCAAAGCATCCTGTATTTATTTTCGTCGATTAAAACGTAAATCAAATCTGTTTTTTGCTTATTACGATACGTCATACAAACTGATTATTTCCTGGAATTATGTTATTTGCACTGATAATGCGAATCCGCATGTATATCTATTAAAGATGGTAATATATTTTCAACCATAAGTGTAAAAGTGCACACTATTGCATACATATTATCATATTATTTCATAGATTCAAATATCTTTTAGCTCTGATAAAATAACACTAATAAATAAATATGTTCACAATAAATTCCATTATAATTATACTTTTTATGTATTATAATCAAGAAAAAAGGAGAAAAACTGTATTTTTCAATCTTAATTTACTAATAAATTATAATATAGTTTACTTTATACTATCACACAATTATCTTTTATAAGTAGATAAATATACAGTGAGAAACAAAGAAGAAAAAGAGATGTTGATAACTTTTGACTCAACATATGACGATTTTTAATATCTTGTAAGAGATAAAATAGAAAAATTTTAATCACATATTTATTACATTCCACTATAATGCTATCATTTATATTGTTACATACATATATATCTGTTACATACAATATTTCTTGCCGTTATCTGCTCACAACTGTTGATTTACATGTATCTTTAGATAGGATAAAGATTTAATTAACTTTTTCGACAATAAACAGAAAAATGCGATACAATGATATACAATATTTTATTGAACAACAACAACAAAATATTTGATCTTTAATTCAGAAAAAGTTATTCCGATGAGCATTAGGAATTTAAAACTTTGTAGAAGCAATAAAGAAGCAAAAGTAATCTACGAGTATAATGACCTTTCTATTTCAAATAGAGTAAATGTGTGACTCATTAAATGCACAGTTAAACAACTCACAATCAGTCAAAGAACGATCACTGCTCTTTACGATGCATTTTCTGCAGCTGTAGAAATAACGATGCGGGTAATACTTTTCTGTCGATTTATGTAAAACGATATAAATCAAGAAAAAGAGAAAAAAGAAATTTCTATATAAAAGAGATTTCTACATAAAAAGAAATATATATATATATTTTTTTTTTTATATAAAAATATTTATATATAAAAGTGAACTGAAGAGAATATTTATAATTTTCTGCGAATATTATGTTATTTATATATTTTTTTCGAAAATTCCATACTGATTATATATTTAAAAACATTTTTACTTCATATCTCTTTTTTAAGTATTATATTTTTCAATGCATTTATTTAAATATATAATATTATATATAAATTTTTTAAAAATATATCTATGAGACATGAACATATTAAGACAAAATTTTCACAATTATCTAATAATCTTCTACTTTTTCATCCTTTATTTTGCAATGAACATACAGTGATAGAAACACATAGACATTTTATATATTTTATTTCACATTTAATCTTCAACGCAAAATGCCACACCTTTATCACGCGTTATGTTCTTAATTTGGCGTTGTGTCATTTGTGGTATAATATTTGCACGACATGCAGCACTACTGGATCAAAAGATAAGAATGTTTCTAAACGATAACACGCGTCCAATAAAATAATTAACCGATTAAAAATCCAGTATTGCGCATGAATATAGAATTTTTAATTTCTCAAAAATTTCGTTAAGGTACTTTTCTTAGTTCCTTTTTTTCTTGTTAGCTTGGGACAAAATTTATAAGGACATATTTATGTAAGATTATCGGTTTAAAATCTAAACATTCGATAACCAAAGTTATATTTTCTCGTATCTCCGGCGAATTTGATTGTATCTCGCGATTTTCAAATAAGTCAAACGTAAGCATTACACAACAGATTTCACGTAAATGATTTATGTACACGCCATCCATTAAGTTTTTGTAGCCCTGTTAAAGATGCATTCAATCCATAATCAGGTGCCCGTGAAAAATGTGCAAAATTGATTGTTCATCACGGAAAAACACAACATTATGAACCATGTAGACGTCTATATTTAGCACTTCTTCTAACGCTTAATCATTTGTCTTTAATGGAAAAATGATCGAATGATTAGCATAAAAATTATGAATTGTGAAGTGTGTTTTAGAGAAATTAATATAATATTTTTTAATGAGTTTGTGTGACAGTTAATTAAAATGCCGCCTGCACTATTAATTTATAACACTGTTTAAATAACACTAATAAAATACGTGCTAATGCGCTCTTTACTGAGGATATATATAGCGATGATTATTATATGAAGATAAGAGCGGATGTAACTGATTGCCCAGTGCCGTTGACATCGATAGATCAATTCATTGCGATCTATTAACATGGCATAAATAAGCAATTGTGATAGATATATAATAGAACGTTTAATAAAAAAATGTTTATTTAAAATCTTATTTAAAGAAATGTAATAATTTCAGACTATGAGCGTATAATTAAAAGATAATATAATAATATGCGACTGTTAGTCTAAATATTGTCATTATTTGCTTATCTAAATTTGTAAATTTTACAATATAAATAAGACTGTTAAATTAAAAATAATCCAATAAAAAATACATATACATATATGTATATGTATGATTGCAATTAGTTTGAAATTACAAAGTTTTAATTATAGTTATTTTGGAGAAAAAGAAGAGAGAAAAACAACATTTCATATTTATGATTCACAAAATAATGTTATATGAAAAAAAGCGAATGAAGAAGAGAAATAATTTATAATGGCATATCAGTGTTTTTGTAGCAATATACTTTTGCAGCATTGCTTCAGCAATTAAATGCTACGCAAATAATGCGAAAGCAAGAGTACAATAAATTTTATTCAATTTGTTAATAATTATATTCCATTATTTTGACTGACGACGCATTATGATTCATTGTATATTTTTTAACGGATAGTCTGAAAATAGACTGTTTTCTTTGTAAATTTATGCGGATTGTAACTATCGCGTCACCGGCGAGCACCTGCACATGTGTTTGCACGGTTCAGTGACAATCAACGTGTATCAACGTGTAACAAGATATATATACATATACGTATAACATATACAAGACGGCCTTGCCATGTGGGTTTTCCAGAGGCAAAACCAGTTCTTTGTTCCGCGTGGAGATGCTAATGAATTTGATGGCAAACGACAGACAGATGCAAAATGGTGAATAAAACTTCTGATAAGTTTGCCAATCAAATGGCAATAGTTTACAGTAGAATGTTTATAAAAAAAAATTTTAACAGCAGATTTTTGCATAAGGTAATCGTATATCATGTACATTATAATCATGTTTGTGTAATCTAGAGAGATTATCAGATGATTGATTGTCATAATTAGAAAAACATGAAGCTACATTCTATTTACAAATTATTTCAGGTATTCGACTAATTTATTATCTGATGTGACGACACACAACAGATGTGCTACTTTTCTTGACGAGTATCATAAGATCACATTTTCAATGATTTATATAGGTATATACATTAATTTCTAACAATTATAGATTTAAATCTGATTACTAGAAAAAATATCTATCCTCTCAGCCTTAATTTATTGTTTTTATATATAAATATTTATTTCTCCATCCAAAAAAAAGAAAGAAAGAAAAATATAGACGATAAGACCCTTTGTATTGCAAAATTCTTACTTCGAAAATCTACTCTTCTATAATTACTATTATTATAAATTTAATTTTTAATATAATAAGCATAATTTTAGCCTTATATATTATTATCTATATTTGAAAAGATTAAGTTTCGAAAAAACCAAATTTACAGTTATTGCAATTTTTACACTAAAGCGATAATAATATAGATAACTTTATCAAAAATAAAAAATAGATTTGTACAACATGTTTATAAATATATGTTTTTAATGATGAATTAATGATGCTTATAAATGTATCTTATTTCACAATCTTCGCTAAATGAATTGGAATACGGGTACTAAGAATTGGAAAAAGATTTTGATTTTTGAAAAGATGTTTACTTGCAAATGCGACTCAATAAATGCAAATTTACAATCATAATTAGCAAAAATTCTTTCTTTGGAATTGCTAATCGATGTCCATCAAGAATATCAAAAAAATTGACAAGCGAATCCAATCATAATGTGTAAATTTATTAGTGGCAAGCTTTAATGATTCGCAGAAGTTTTAAATACAATTGACAAAATGGATAAAAAAAAATTTATTGATGAACATTCGTTTCGAATCGTACACGACAATTCTTGCATAAATGTGAATCGTCTCGACGCGGGTATAGATTTTTAAAAGAATCTTTAAAAAAAATTATAAGTATTCTATATATTATCACTAACACCAAATTAATAATTTATGAGTTATAATGTATAATCATACTGTCGAATTTTATTGATAGAATATATTATCGACCATAAATTTTTATTATGCAACACAGAATTATGTCAGAACCGAAGAAACTTTAATTTAAAAACGTTACATTTTCGAGATATAAATATAAATTCAATCGCGTTTATAATAATATTTTAATATTAATAATAATTTTAATGCAATATATTAGCCCATTATTATATGTACTAGTAATATTAATATTATAACACAGCATGTGTATAAGTATAAACTTTACATTTTCTATGAAACTTGCAGATTATTGTCTTAGAAAACAAAAGACATATGGTATATTCAGTGTATATCAACCAAGCATAAATTCAGTGTATAATTACTTAACCAAGCATAATTTATGAAGCTTCTCTAAAAGTTCCTAGAACTCTCATTAATACGAATTATTGATAAAAAATTTGTTCAAATTTGTTAGACGATTAGATCATACAGAATATTGTAGATTTTTATCCCATTAGTTATTAATTTATTCGATTTCATTAGCTTTATTATGGAAGATAAATATCTCTCATAATTAAATCAATTAATCGGAGAACTCTAAGCTTAGTGTATATCTACAATTTTCAAAAATTGAAATCTTGTTCCTTATGAAGATTAGCTTCATCGAGAAATCAAGTGGTTACATTTAGCGAAAAATATGGTGAGAATATCTTCTCAGCATAATTTTTTTTCTTCTAAATTTTCTTCATAAATCTTCTCTGCTGTTTGCGAAAAAAGGCGCATTTCAAAACAGAAATCTTTATTACAAACAAATAAAACAAGATCTGAAGTTTTAATTAACTGAAGTTTTAATTATACCGACAATTATTCGATTACCTTACTTTAATAAATGATTAATCATCATTTTTCAATTTTTTCCTACGTTGTAATTAATATTATAAATTAAGAAATAATAAATTATGAAAAGTCATAATAACCATAATAATTAATAAAGACCAATAGACTATTTAACACTTTCTTTGTCTAGTTTTAATATTAACATAATTTGATGCTAGTATCATTCCACACGGAAATGAAACAATAGATAAATTATATATATATATATATATATATATATATATATATATATATGTAATGCAGTTATTTTTTGTTTATATTGACGTAACTTTAGAACGAATTAATTTGTCATTAATATAGTTAATTAATGTGTTTAACAAGGATAGATTGATATGCTAAGATAATAATAACTATACGAATAATAACTTATATGTAATATTATCATATATTTAGATTATTTTTTTTCATTTAATAGTTGTGTGATAAATCGAAGTTACTATAGAATTATTTATTTTTGTACAGCAGAAATTATTTCCCAAAATATCGAGACCAAACGAATGAGATCAGCTATATATCATAATTGATTTGCGTCGAACGTTATCGTTCACCATATCATGTTATCGTTTTTGTACTGCGTTTCAACGCGAAAATCAGCTGTGATACCAATGGAATTTCCATATCAAGATTTGACTTATCATTGCTTGTGTAATTACATGTAGAAAGCATTTACCGTATATTAGAAACAAGAAAAATTCTTCAAGATCAAAAATTCTTTCAGGTTTATTTGAAGTTACAAGAGTAAAAATCGCGTGAGAGTTGTGTGTGCTTGCGGTTGTAGCCAATTTGCGTCACAGGCGGTTCACGTACATCGTACATTATAATTTCAATGCCATTCACGAGTTTACGCACTTGATACGCAGATAACATAAATACAATAAGATAAAAAAAATTAACAAACATCCTAAAAAAATTTCGACTTTTCTAGGAAATCATGTTCCAAATATTCAATTGCATGTGTGTGTTCGATATTATTTTATACTGATAAGGAAAATGCGCGCACAAGATCTCCAGGGATCTCTCTGATGATCGCTCTCACCTTGTTGCCGAGGAAGGTTGAACGCTCAGGCAGATCGACGGACGTGATCATGGATATCGCTGTTGTTTGTACCTCGTATAACACTTCACGACACAACTCGATCCACGCATCAAGCGTCGATCGCAGTCGACTGACTGTCACTGACTCACTGACTGTCACTCACTGACACTGATGCTGTTTTACTCGCCGCGACGCGACCAAGCGCGACGAGCCACAAGAGCGGGAAAGACACATGACCGACCAGGGAAATGCACAGTTCAAATCTGAATGCTCATCCGGTATTTTTTTTTTTTTTTTTTTTTCAAAGCTCGATACGACTCATCTGGGTCTCTCCAGGCCTCGTCAAGTGCGCGGTAGTTTGAGTCTTAGCGACCTGAGATAAAATTTATTTTAGATATTTGAACATCATAATCAACCGTATTATATTCTAAATTGTAAATATTTCATAAGTAATTTTACTCGTCACTTTAGCTCTTTATGATTTGCTGTACGTTTACAATCTAATAAGTTACATATGATACATAAATGTTCGATATATATGCAACTGAATGTGAATTTTTGTCGAAAAATTTGTTAGTAATTAGGATTGAAATGTTTCTTGAAAAAGCTGGACAGAAGCCTACGTTATTATAATGTCAAACGAAGCATATGCACAACAATGCAACGTGAGAGAATTAATGCGAGAAGATGCGAACTCAGAAGTCTTTTTTCAAAAGTACACGTTATCAGAAGAGACCGCAGCGAGACTCGAATCCATCAGAGAAATGTTGAAGGATGATATCGCCCAGGCTAATCCGTTGTGGAAAGTTATAGCAGGAGAGGTTAGAATTGTACTTGATAAGATCAGAATGTTTCTTAGACACATGTATGCTTCTTATGAATTATATTGTAATTTAAGAGAGATTTGGAAATGTAATAAAATATTCAATTTTTAATATTTAATTTTTTAAATATTAAAATATTTAATTTTTAAATCAACTTTTTGTATAAAATTAAAGTAATGTATACTGTACATAATAAATGAAATAATACTTTAAATTAATAATTTTACATCCATTACCATTATCCATTTTAATAATTTTACATGCCATTATCCATTTTAATAATTTTACATGCTATATAATAATTATTTAATTTAGAATGAAGAAGAAGTATATTCAGAAAGTGAGACCAGCAATAATGATGATGAATCAAATCATAATGAATCACAGATGATGCATGATCAATTAGTTGTACCATCTACTCAATTTTATTTTACGCAAACTGAAAGAACATTTGTAGAAACATCTGATACATCTGCCGCATTGCCACAAAGATGTGATATTTTAGAGTCTGCTTGCGAGAGTTTAGAACGAAATAATGGTAGATTAGACTTTGTTCAATTAGAAAATCTGTCCAATGAAGATCTTATCCCAGTGGTGGATGAGATGGCAGGAAAATTAAGTCTGAAGGGTATTTACAATTTGTGTGCATCAATGAATAATATGACTATCGAACAGAAAATCAAATATCTCAATGTATTGTGCACACATTTGTTGCTGCCAAAGGTATCAAATAGCCTATTGAATATATTTATCTGTTCTTTCCTCATAAGTTAATTATTTTTCATATTATGGTCATAGATAATTGAACTTGAGGAGCCATCTCGTTTATTATCATCTGCAATTGTGGAATGCGTTAAAAACTTTCCTGATGAGATTCAGCAATTTATATTTGTTCCTCTTCTCAATGCTGAGTTAAAAGACACAATGCTGATCACCACTATCATAAACTCATTTGATCTGGAAAAGAAAGCAATTCTTTTAGAGTATGTTTCACAATTATATGTTTTTATACACATAATAGATGCATAATATAATTATTTAGAATTTTTAAGTCGAGATTAATACATTCTATTATTTGTTTTCTCAAATTCATATAATATATATATTTTCTAGTCATATTTTTTTAAAAAATACTGATATTAAATTTAAAAAATATTGAAAAATATTAATATTAAAAAAATAATATTAAATTTTATTGTACTATAATAAAATATTATTTCTATCCTATATGCATAAGTTTTTATATTATGCTCTAAAAGTCCACCTATTATTCAAATATCCAAACATGTTATTAAAATTAATAATTAAATTTATTTTTACGAATTTTATGATTTTTTTATGATTTATTTTGAAAGAATTATAAAATTAATTATTTTATGTAAACACATTATTTTATAAAAAAAAATTTTTAACTATGACATAATTTCTATGAAATAATAATTTATATTAAAAAAAAATAATGAATTATTTTTACTTGTTTTTACAGAGAATTTCTTGCATATGTCAAGGAGCTAAAGTCATGGCACATATCTATATTACAAAACTTCTTATCCGTAAGACTGGACCACAATATGACCGACAAAATTACAAAACTATTCTCGGGAAAGGCGCTTTATTATTCTAAAGATAAAACTTTTGGAAAACTTATTTTATCATTTTTAAAACTGAATACAGCTCTGTCACAAGAGCAGAAAAATCTAATGGTCGAAGTCGTTGCCGTCAATGAAACGTTATTCAAAAGACCCATGGAAAATATCTTAAAGAATATGTAGAGTATTAAGTAACATTTTAAAAAATTGATTGCTATTAAGTTTTCTCTAAATTTTCTTTAGAGAACTAAAGGTTTTTTTTTTCTTATTCAAAATCCAACTTTTATAGTTTTTAAATGTGTTTTTATATTTATATATTCGGTATTAATAAGAATAAATGAATCGACAGAAGAAGCTTTAATTATTAAAATAATATATTTTATCAAACCAAATTTATAATTTGGAAATAAATATACTATATGTATTAATGTACCATATACGATAAATGACTATTAGTTCTGACGTTTCGTTTGCACTTATGGCGAGATGCGCGCGAGATCGGTGATTCCATGCGCTGATCAGCTGATTGGAGATTTCATTCGAAAATTCGAGTTATAGTTAACATTGCTCTGTTCCAATGCGATACATAATTCTCTCATAAAGTGCCTGTCGACAATTATTATTGATAGAGGCAGATCGCCTAAATTGTCGTACAAAAATGACAGAGGAATTATCTGGTATAACTATAGTGATATTTATAGCAGCGGGCGTCTTGACAATATTATTGCTATTTATTTTCGCGAAACGGCAAATCATGAGATTTGCTCTGAGATCTCGTCGAGGACCTCACATCCCCATAGGACACGATGCGAAAAAAGTGCGTTCCATAAAATTTGATGTACTATTTCGAGGTTAACCTGCTATTAAATATCACTGTATTATTATTCTACAATATACATTTAATAAATGTTTTAGTCCTTAAAAAAGGAAATAGAGAGGAGGATTGAAGTGATACCTAAGATTCAATATGAACCACAACTTATCAGTGATCCTAGGTATATTTTGACACCAGGGGGTCAAGCTCCACCACATTATTATAGATTAAAAGCAGTTGACGATGTTAAAACCTTAGGTAAGTTATCATTGCATTATTGTGTTAATGTTATTTCATATCATGTGTTTTTGCAGAGGCAGAGATTACAAAATATGACAATTGTTTGAAGAGACATCCCTCAGAGAATCTAAGAGCATACTTGCTCACTACACTTGCTACTCCGTTGAATGGAAGCGGTCAACGTTTAATACACCAGTTCTGTGATTTGTATGAACATGCAAGACACGATCCCACCGAATTCGGTGATGAGGAGTATCAAGTGTACACTCGTTTATTTCTAAAATTAATGGACGCGTAAGTACAATTCAGAATGTTTATTTATTGTTTGTCTTTACAACAAAAATTTCTGAACAATTAAATATATCTTAAACAATAGTGAAAAGAAAATATAATTTTAAATATTATTCAAAGTATTTATATTCAAATTATTTAGGGCGCGTTTATTGAAATCATATCCAAGCAGTAGAAAATCTAGTCCTAGTCGTACTCCAATCAAGAAGAACGTGGAAACAAAGAGAAATATTTTAGAACCGCGAATGCGTCCACCAGAAGAACAGATTCTAACTGGCTCGAGACCTAATACTTTAACAGTAATGACATTAGACAATAGCGAAACGTCCGTGTAGCATTATGAATGTCGTCACATACAACATATGTGACGAGGAAATTATAGATAGATATTGAAATAATTTGTACAAAACTCTCTCTACCATGTGCAAATGAAACGCGTCCAATTTAATTAGGGAAATTATTAAAATGCATTTTTATTTTAAGTAAGACATCTAAAATTTTCACATTCTGTTAAAGATGAGTATTAGTCAAATAATATATTTTAGACAACGAACGCTTTTTTCCTGATTTGTTTACTATTTTTATGTATATAAATTTATACAGTCAGTGTTATATAAAATAAAGATTTCAAATTTTTTTCTATAGACATTTATAAAATTGATATTTTGACAGGTACTGTATATAAAAACAGTATAGAAGTAGTCAAATTAGAAAATTATTAACAAATTAAAATTCTTCAAAGTATTTATCTTATTATATCTAATTTTCACGATAATAGAATATTCTAGGTAGTCATTAATTGTGATTACTAAATTATCTCCATTGATTTCAATATTAAAATTTACAAAACATTAAAATTTATATACATATAATACACAAATTTACATATCCTTAAATAAGATTCAAGAAAATGTTTAATATAATTAAACTATAAAAAGTTGTCTTTTCCTTTGGATATTTATATACTTTTAGCAATGCTGAATTAGCATATCTTCCTACATGTTACTGTTTAATGTAAAAATGTTTAACAAACTAACAAATTGAATATTAACTATGATGTAAAAAGAAATCTAAGTGTATGTATTTATCTATTGAAATTTATCGTAATTATTTCATTAGCAGTAAAGTATAGATTATTTAAATAAAATTGTCACGAATATATAGATTATTTATGTATAGGATCTATTATTAATGAAAAGGCTGAATAATATAAATAAGTAAATCAATTCAATATAAAATCTTCCTTTTTTTATATAAAAATATTTTATGTAAATACATTTTTTAATTATATGTGGGAATATAAGTTTTGACTGACAAGTAATTTGTCCACTGTAAATTATAGTCTTCTTCATGCCTTAATAAAATTAATGCGCTTTGAAACGCAGATATATACACATCAGGTACAGAACTGGTCCTCATGTGATTTAGCCATTTCATAATCTAAACAAATTATCAATATAATTTATACATATATATCACATATTATTGTATTGTTATTATTGTTATTATTGTATGTATTATACGTGTATTGTCCATTTCACATACGACGAAAAGTTTCGATACTCGTAATATGTAAATATAATGTTTTTTAGCTGATAAATATATAATACAATATTAAGAATCTTTTCTAATTTAAATGTAAAATATTTACACATACCTGACAAGATATCGATTTCCACATTTGCCGGTCAATAAGCACAGAAATGGCCTGTGGAAACAATCTTATCCTCTCATCTTGCAAACTAATTAATAATTCTTTTTTTGGCAACAGGCAATCCATGCCAGATAAACAGATAATCGAGACGAATAAAATGTCACAGAAAAAGATTATATTGTTTTTATCATGTGATTTTTCCACTACAAGTGCATCAATGTGACTCATAAAACTTAAAATCCAATCTTTTTGGGATTCAAGATCACAGGATTTCAATAATCTTAAGTTAGTTTGCACTCTTTGTATATTTTCTAAGAAATATTTTTGCATCCTGTGAAAAGAAAAAAAATTGTTTTTATCGGGCAATCCCTGACTGAAAACTAAATTTCTTATGATCATTATAATTGTTAATATTTACTCAGAATTAGATGCAGCCGTATTGATAGGTTCATTTAGCCAAGTGATTGGTGAGTTGAATAGAGTTATAGAATTGAATTCTCTGAATGCTACTTCAGTTCTAACAGTGATGGCATTCTTCAGTTTTTTTGGCGTTACTTCAAACCAGATGCTAGGTGATGTCATTCTTTCGATATCTTTGTCCAATAATTCCATTACGGCTGTAAGATAGTTCTCGAAATATTTAGATGTTAAATCGACTTTCTTTAATATCTCTTCCAACATACTGGTCAGCAGTGTGCGATTTCCTATAAGTATCACGTTGCTTTTCAAAGCAGTGGCGTACGAAGAGACAACGCGATTGAACAAATTGACCGATCTTTCGTCATTGAATGAGATTTTTTCAATGATATACTCGAGAGAAGTCTCGAGAAATTGTCTCAAGGAATTGGGCTGAATGGCTTGACACAGCTCGTCGAGATTCGAATAAAGCACTAAATGTTTCTCATTTAGCAACAATCGACCAGCTTCTGATGCAGATGTGTACATCGATAAAAAATCCTCTATGAGCAATTTCGCCGATACAGAGATTTGACAATGACGACTCGCGATGGACAGACTGTACTCTTTAGCTTCCTCCGATATCTGCATGGTTTCATTCAAGAAATTCCATTTTATGTTCGGTAATGGTTTTTTGTACTTATGAGCAAATATGCGCAAACATTCCACCATAATTTTCTGACTGCTTGGATCCGCTTTATTACTTCGCCTTAGATATTCACCAATAGCCCTTATCACGCTTCTTTCCGGCAAATACTTGTAATTGTATGGTTCTCCTTGTGGCCAAGAGTATATTCGCGACCTGAAGCCGCTCAATTCGTTCTCGATGTAAAAAATTAAAAGATCCCCGGCTGCTGATAAAATGTTTCTGTTCACCTTTTTTAACATCTGAATCCAACAAGTACCCGGTATATATGACAACACATCCTCGGGCTTGTCAATTTCATCAGTCGTCTTTTCGGGATAAGCGCGAGATACTACGAGATCTGCTCGAAAATCCGAGGGCAAAGCGCTTAAAGGAATTCGTTCCAAATGGTAAGATCTCAATGCTTTGAACGCCGCTTCCGCGATCCTCGTGTCTTCGCAAATTGCGTAATTCCATAAATGTGTTACGATATCAACGATGAATGCATCGTAGTCATCGCTCGCGCGAAATGGATACGAAGGAATGTCCGCAAAAAGCTCGCAAAGACTCTCCAGAACTATAGTACGTTTTTCTTTGCGCATCTTTGGCGCTAATACTTTCCAAGTGGAGTAGATGCCTGTCAAATAAAATCGTAATCTGTATAAAATCTTGAAAAATTTGATAGTTTATAAAGAATTATACAACATATGAAAAAAGAAGTAATAAAAGTATAATGCAATATAAAAAAGGAGCAATGTCTAAAAATATAATGCACCTATCACCGCAGATTTGCACAGGGCAGAAATGCTGTTGAGTGCGAGTGCACTAGCAGCACTGCCATTCAAATCGACGCATCGGTTCAGGATCTGCGATAGCAACGGTACAAGTTCTTCGCCGTGCTCGGGTCGATTCTCGCAAATGTATTTAATCGCCTGAGCGCAAGTCACATCCGAATGCCAACTGCGATCAGTCTCCATAGTATCCATCAGAGCAGCGGATATAAAGCGGTAGCAGCGCGGTTCCTTCTCTAACGCCTTTGTATAAAGCTGGATTGCGAAGTATTTTAACGGTTTGCCGCTGTTCAACATCGTGTTCAATGTGTGCATGATAATTGGCAAATTCTCCTTGGACATAGCGCACTCGGGAATGGCTAGCAACAGATGCTTCAAGGTATAACTGTCGTGAGACTTAGTTAATTTATGCAACAACAGAGATAGAACGTGTGACGCGAAAGAGTTGATTTCCCGCGCTATTTGTACGAGAATATCGCAGGTTTTTTGTACAATGCCAGGTTCGTTGCTATAAAGAAAGATTCCACACAAGATAAGCTTGCACATGTATCTTAGATCGATCGGTGCGAGTGATAAGTTTTCCAACCACGATAGGATGTCATTTTCCAAGGAATACAGACTGCGAATGAGTTCTATATAAAATTGAATGTATCTATTGCTATGACTGAACATGAGTAGCGTTTTGTTTGAGATATTATCATTGTCTGTTTGTGTTTGTGACATGATTCTGATTAATAACTCTTTTGCTACCGCTAACGCATCAGAACATAATAGTGAAGGATAAGCCAGCCACTTTAATAAGGATGCAGCTAATGCATTTAATAATATGATGTTACACGGCATCTTGTCCATGATGACTGTACCTAAAATCGATCAAAATTAAAACTCGTGAAATTTTAAGTTTTTTAAAGAGATAATTTTATATTATTATTATAATATATTATTATTTTTATATTAATATTTATATATGTCGTCTTAATTAAAAATACTTACATATTTGAAGAGCGCTGAATAAATAAGCTGCAGGGCATACCAAGATTATTTCTGCCATCATAGGTATTGTGATATTTCCTATATAATCATTAGACTGTTTGATCAGATCCAATATTGTACAAAAATTTTGCATTGGTTCATATCCATATTCCAAAAGCTGTATTGTCAAGGACGCGATTAAAGGTATTAAAGCTGTACAATACTCTTTGTCTCCTTTCAACAACGTTACTTCTGCAAACTCAAGTACTCGACAATTCGCATCGACGCAGGTATCTATCCGATTTGTACACAACCAGAATAAAATTTCTGCTTGTAAATCCAAAGTGTTACTAGATTTAATTAGAAGTTGCCATGCCTCATGTTTGCAGCTCTCGCATAAATCCATGGAGGGATTGCACAATATGTACATGAATACAGGTCGTAATAACGTTAAGCTTTGTTCCATAGCACTGAAATATAAATAAATTTAAATGTATGTATAAAACTTACTTTTCTCAGGAAATATAATGGACAAACATTCCATATTTTTTATTTATTGTTTCCAGCTATTGTATTTTTCTGAGTCTTTAATGAACACTCTTTTAGCTTAATTATAAAATATAAAAAAACATACTGTTTATCATAATGATGCATGATGAGTTTCATTTGATTCAACACAGATCTCCAGCTGAGTTTTTCCTGATTCAAGATTGTAATAAATGGATGCTGTGTAGGCACTTGAAGAGTATATTCGTTATGTTCATCCCGTATTTTCCAATCCAATATCAATAGTTGACTCACAGCTATAGTAATTGCTTGATAATTTCTGCAAATTTCAATCATAATGAATGTAATGATAATGATATGATTTGAAGTAAATATCCATAAATATATATGTAATTAATAATTGCTTTGTTTAACATGTACATACATACTTTGAGGAAGACAGGCATGCCATGAAGCTTGCTAATGCAGATCTGACATCCCATAATCCGGTTTCAACAAGCACAATCAATGCTTGGCATGCAGATGTACTGACTATAAAATCATTGCTGTTGCATTTAGATGAGAGCAATTTAAATTCTGCTATCTGCAAAAGAGAAATATAATAGAAAAATATATATAAATAAAATAAATAAGTCATCATACAACTAATCGTACATAACTATCATAAATCAAAATTTGTATTACACATAATTATTAAAATTATTTACTTTGGAAATATCCTTTTCTTCTGTCTCTAATTTTTTCTTGATCGCATCAATCAATTTGGATATCGCCTGTTGAAAAATTGAACATAGTTGTACTAAATACAAATATATATAATCAATATTGAATATCATTGATATATTTACATGTGATACCAAAGTAGGATTTTGTGTTTTTAACTTATAATCAATTTCATCCATGACGTACGTGTGTATGTATTTTAGATTAAATTATCTTCTATACAACTTTTATTCTTAATAATTTTCTGGAAAATTTTCTTAAAAAGAATAAACTCATATAAAGATACATGTGAGCTCATAAAATACAGGATCACCATATGTTAATTAAAAAATATCAGGTCTGTCTCTCTCTTCATGTCTTTTTTTTTTAAATATTTAATGTGCCTTCAACCAGTTTAATCCAATTATGATTATTTAGGCACTCTCTCTTCATGTCAATAATAAACATAACCTAACTTAATCGGCGCAAAAACTGCTGATTCCCTCCGTCTTGTGATAATATTGAGTCTAAAAATAATAGCCAATCACATTCGAGTGCTACTGAGAAATTGCGCAGACTGTTACTGCGCATTACAACCATTCGCATGCGCAATAGCAACGATATAAATAGTTATAGTATAATTATATAAATAGTTTTACTCTAATTATGTATTATAAAACAATATATCTTCATAAATTTTAATATCGGTGAATGATTTCAATGTCAACCATCGCATCTACGTCTGCAAATTTATCTTCATTCTTCGAATATAGCGGTAAGTTTTGTTTATACTTACTTTAATGTAAAGTAAATCGTTAAAAAATTGTAAAAATATTCAAGTAATTACTTAAAAAGAACCAAATTTCAGCGCACTTCTAATTTCTCCCTCTCTTCTCTCTTCCTTCATTATTTTAATTATTTTAATATTTCTACTAGATATACATCTAACATTAAAATTTTAATAGAAAAATTTATTAAATAATACGTGTATATTTTTATATCTTTTATCTTTTATAGTCTTAGGTTTTTTTCAGATATATATACATATTTTTGACATCTTTTCTTTAGATATATATAATTTGACATATTAAAATTTTAATAGAACAACTTATTAAATAAATATCTTTTTATCTTTTACTGTATCTTAGATTTTTTTAAACTTTTTCTCGAATGGGGAAAATGGAATAAGTTTGAATTACAAAGTGGAAAATAAAGATAGAAGAGAGTCTTGAGATTTTTCAATATATTTATTTGTATGGACAAGTGTCGGAGCATAGTGCACAATATATTTAATATATAGTAGTCTGAGGAAGGGGGGATCAGAGTACATTCTGGAGTTTGAACACAATATCTTACAATTTAACGACAAGATGCCTGCATGGTTTTTTTTTCTTTCGTATCTGCTTCTGTACGTTATGTTTTTACTCGTATATTCATATATACTCGAAATGTATAATATATAAAGCGTAACGAGTCACTATTTTTATCATTCTAAAAAAAGGAGACGAGAATAAGGGTCCTTGTTTATTATGTTATGTCTCAATTCTCATCGTTAACCATTCGTTCTTATACATGTCTCTCATTCTTCTTTTACACACGCATATACATACATATACACACTTACACACACACATACATACATGCTTGCGTTTGTTCGCTCTCTTTCTCTCTTGTACAATCTATCTCTCCTTCTCTCTTCTCTTCCTCTTTTTCCTATGATACTCGATTATGCAACGTCCTAGCAAATATGCGTAGTACTCGCTACAATATCGTATCCTTAGGATAGACGGAGGTTGCCTCCAATTACTAATTACATTCATTCTCTATTACACATGGGTAGCGAGTTGCGCGTCTCAAGGAAAATCTCGTTTCCGCAGGATAAGCGGAGTCAGCCGGGAAGGGCAGGGGGGGCACAGAGAGCGGGGCTCGTTTGCTTGAACCACAAAACATTGTAAACCAACCCGTTTTCCAGTAATGTACGAGTTCGAGTGTAGACGCAATATAAAGCTTTCCGATTACGAGGATTGTGATTCGGAGACGACAACTCTTTTTCTCTTTCTCTCTCACTCTTTCTCTCTTTCTCTCTCTCTCTCTCTCTTTCTATATATATGTATTTTTTTCTAATTATTGAGATTAACGATCTATATTAAAATTCTTTTTTTTTCTTTCTTATTAAAAGCGAATACATTTTTTACAGCCTGTACAATCGAGCGAAACATCGCGGCGCACTCTTTCTTTCACTCTTTTATTCTTCATTTCTCGTTCATATTTTCTCTCTCTCTCTCTCTCTTTCTCTCCTTTTTCCACCTCCGCTCGCGGAGGGAGACGCGGACCAGGGCAGGGTCCAGGTACTCAGGCTATCTCTCTGCGTGTTTCTCTTTTCTTTCTTCTCGTTCTTCTTCGCTTTTCTTTTTTATGTTTGCGAAGATCCCGCAGAATCGGGTTCCTCGATCTTTTCATGTGTATTCTCTCTCGGTCGGCTCCTCTTCTCTTTTTATATTATTTGCCTCCTCTTTTTACAAAAATCACAGCGCAGCACCAGCATTTATTTCTTTTAAAGCCCACCCCTTTGTCCGCTGGGCGCCTCACTAAAATTAAGGCGGATCACACGGTTTTTTTTTTATTTCTTTCACTCATTCTCTCTCTCTCTCTCTCTCTCACACTCACTCACACACACACACACACACACACACACACACACACACACACACACACACACACACACACACACACACACACATATGTAGACACATACACCAAGCATGCACATACGTTTTTTCGTCCTCGCAAGTGCGCGCGCGTGCATCTCTCTATCGTGGTTTCGTTCACATATTCGGCAAAGTAGTTGCATTGCGTTTTCCTTCTTCATTTTATTAAATATTTTGCTCTTTAACGCTGTGAAACGCGAGAAACACATCATCAATCGTTTCCATGTCTTTTGATTTGGCATTTGCGAACGTTACCCGATAAAATTTCTTATTTTTTCCGCATTTTTTTCTTTCTCTTTCTCTCTCTTTCTATTTTCTATCTTACGTCACATCGATAGTAATAAAATAATATATAATTAATAATCTCAATAAATCGTATAATATTTATATATATATGTATATATATATATATATATATATATATATATATATATATATATATATATAAAGGATGACGATAGTCGTTACTGAACAAATATTATGTAGTTTATACATACATATATATATAGTCGCATATGCGCATACGTAATTGTACGTCTCGCTCTTTTTATTTATCCATTCTTTGGATCGTGCCCCCCTCTCCGCCTCTCACTCCCTTTTTTTCCCTAATTTTTGCACACATCGCTGGCTACCATTATCTTAGTAAACAAATAGCGTTCTAGCATCAAATTTACAGTCACTTAACGCCACTTAATTATTTAGAATCATCGCATTACACATGTCGTCTCTCTGTTTTATCTTTCTTGTCTTGTTCTCGACACGCTTTTATTAACCACGCTCGTCTAAGTAAAGACGAGTTCTCTGGTCGTTTTATCGGCATTAGTGATCGGTCGCACAAATCATGGAGTCTCTGTTCCCCTAAGAGATAGTTTAGTTTTTTTTTTTCAGCAAGTTATACAATTTCTCTACAAAAATCGAAATTTGCGCTCGCATATATAATTCTTACAATCCTTTTTCTCATTTCTTTACAATAAAATACATTGACACGGATTTACCGTACATCGCGGAAACGCGCACGCACACATTATGCTTGTACAAGGCAGTCGACTCACGCGATTCGCTACTCTCTTTCGTCTCGTGTATCCTACATACGAGTGCTATATTTTATTTCTCTCCTTTTACACGCACGCACACATACGCTTGCGCTCGCTTGCTCGCTCCTAAGTTTCTACGCTCGATAAAAACTCCATCACATCGCCTCGAATTTGAGAGTCAGGGGCGGAGCCGCGCTTTCCGTCATTTTTTGTTGTCGTGCCAGCACGGCCCCGTGAACGCGAAGACAGTACCGTCCGTCCTCGCGTGTTTCAGTCTAATGAGATGTCTGGCTCCTCGCGACCGTTGTCATCTATGGTCTCACACCTTGTCCCGGTACGGACTAGACTCTTCTTTATCTATTCTATTAACTTCGGATGCCAGCTACGCGAATGTCCTCTACTTGTCAGTCAATATTTGCTGGATCGGCATCTCTCCGTTTTCTTTCCGAACTACCGTCTTATCTAGACAGAGTATCCATCTAAGACTATAGGCACTAGAAAGCAAAGAAAAGATCGAGCTTGTACCAGGATCAGACAGACGTCAACGAGGAGTCAGCGCAACTTGGGTGGCACTGAGCGAGCTCAGTCTACACCGAAACAAGGCAACTCTCGTTCGATCCCGTTCGAGAACGCTCATCTCGCGAGATAGGTCGTTCTTCTCGAAATCTATCAGAGGCCTCGACCTTTGGAATAAGATCGAGCCTCCGATCCTTATCCTTACATTAGCCGTAGGCGTCTGTACACTACGTGGCGCGTATTTTTAAGATATACACTATGTACACGGACAAGGATATTTTAGCGGGCTGGTTTCAACGAGCTGCACGAAGATCGCGAATCCAGCGGGACATGGGGGCATCGTTCGGCGCTGGAATAAAACGCGCAAGGAGAAAACTCATCCTCTCATTCTACGCGAGCATCGATCCGATAGTTCGATACACCAAAGGATTGCTCGCTAACGATCGTCTCTCGTCGAACCTACCACGATCAGTTCAACAGCTGGATCGCCGTTATAATTCTGTCTGAGAATGGACATTGTATTTGTGCGTCAAATCGAGTTCAGTCTCTTATCATTCTTTTAGTGTTAGTTTGTATGTGTTAGTTTTCATGTTTGCACCTAATTTGGAAAGTCGCGATTTTCTATTAGATGACCCACGAGTCTTGATTTCGTCTAAACGTCTTTTAATCGTCCGATAATCATGATTCACAGTTTTAACACCCGATTAACATATCTAAAAATCTCTAGTTTGTGAACATGGATAATACCATTTAAGACATCCATATCATGATTCTAAATTCTCAATTAACGTCATCGAGAAAGTGAATAACACACAGCACAAGGAGGAACACCATAGACGTCCATCTTCTACTGGCTACGTTCATCATTGTCATTGTTCTAACATCTAGTCCGCTCCGTCCACTTATTCTTCAGTCCCTAGTACTTGCGCCGTTGTTGAAGAGAAGAACAATAGAATCCATCTTGTCATATCAGTCATCGTTGTTCTAACATCTCAACTAGCTCTTTCAAGATTTCAGTCCTGACCGACGTCGCAGGGGAAACGCGGACGACACAGAGAGCCTCTTTGCTACATCTTGATCCTGATCCGGCCATCATCACCTTCTTTACTTGGCTACACCTAGGCGCTAATTCGGCCAATAACGCAGCGCGTGGAACATACACACGGCACCCCGCTCAGTCGCATCGGCTACATTGCTCGCTCGTGTCCATCATGCCTCCTACGGTTGCCTGCTGGCGGCGGTGCCGTGCGGGTGTCCCTCACCAGGCGCACCGTTCGCCGCCGCCGGATGTGTGTGATGGGCCTGTGTGGCGGAGCTGCCCCCGGCGCTTCCGCCGGATAAGACGGGGGCGGGGGCCGCGGGTCACTTGGGCGGGAATGGCGAGATCACCGAGGCGGCTACCGCGGCGGCCTGCTGACTCGCCAGCACTGCCGCTGCAACACACACAGAGAGACAGCAGGCCATTAATGTTTCGTCACGATCACTCTGAAGCGCCTACTCTGAATGCGCGCGCGCGTGATGAGCGCGTTTCGTTTCCAGCTGTTGCTATTGTTGTTCGAATGATGGCGACCCGCGGCACCCGGAACCAAAATTTCGAAGCGCGTTTTCGGCTATTGGAAGGGGGGCGGAGGACCGAAGGAGAGACCAAGATTCACCGCTGAGAAAATAACTTCATTATTCTTATCATCTGTGTATTATGCGATTTGTTCCTATTACGTAACATGAAATTGTGTGACATTCAATGCAAGCGGAGAAGAAATATTGATAACTTGGAAACACAGTGGAAATATAATATCTGTTGCTACTTTTAAACGATGAAAATATCAATGGCCATTAAAAATGAAAATGATAGAAATTGATTTATTGACATCGGTTAATGTGACATATATAAGATGGTTCGCAGATTCAAATATACAAATCCAATAGATCATGTTCTATTTAGGATAATCATGAAATATTATGGAAACAATATAAGAAACTGAATAGTATCGCAATACTCGAGAAAAATTATTTCTATATATAAAAATGGAATTTTCTTTTGGCGTGCTAAAAATATTATTCCTAGATATAAAAATGGAACATTTTTTGTGTGCTAAAAGATCCGTACAGTCACTTCGATACATATTGCATAATTCTGTTTTTACACTGAACTTGATCTTTGCAAATTGTTCGATGCCACTATTAATGTTCCTAAATCCTAGCAAATAATTCTCACACTTGACGAGTTATGATATTTAAGACGTAGCAGAAAATAGATTTGCAACCGTTTTTCATGGATATGAAATCACATGCAAGGCTCTTCGAGACGAAATCTTCGAGACGATCGTTAATGCAATCCTTTAGGAAATGCATCGTCCTCGAGCTCGGTTGCACTCGAGGAGAAACCCGTATATTTCGAGATACCTAAACACCGAGCTACTTTCATCACTAGGAGGAAAAATGATGATGGATATGTGTATGAAGAGTGGGAAAGCAAAGTGGCATATAAGTAATTGTTTCTTTCTCCATCTCCCTTTCTCCTTTTTACTTCTGTCTCAACGATTTCGCGCCTATAATGCATTTCCCTAGTATGGTTGCGGACTTCCCTCGTTCACGCGAAAGTCCTGGCAGTGTTGGCTCCGTAAGCGTAGACTTGGTCGATTAAGTTTGCTGATTGGTGATCGTTTTCCACCGTACAAGAGTATCGCTATATGTGAGACATTGCAACAGCAAAGTAACATAAAATCCCAGAAAACGTGAAATTAAACATAGTGAAAAGATTAAATGAATAAATCTTATATTAAACAAATTCATCCAAAGAGAAATCATTTTAGACGAATTTTAAATATATATTTATATATATTTATATAATAATATATATATAATATATATATAATATATATATATATACACACACATACATATATATATATATATAATTTTTATTCATTTTTCTTCAATTTTTCTTATTTCTTTCGATAAGTATGTATTTTGCAAAAATACAAAAAACATTGTATCATATTTTTTTGATAAATATTATTTTGTATTTCGATTTCTAAAGCACAAAAGGAGCGAAAGAGATTATCGACAAGATAAGGAAAAATTTCACTTTCTAGAAACATTTAATTAATATCTTTTCTATTAATCCTTTGATTACTCGACTAGCGACATTAAATTATTTACTATTTAATTAATATCATAATTTATCAATGAAATCGTTATCATCAAAAATTCAAAGATACTTTGAAGTTGCATTTCTATCCATTTTATATCCAGATAATGGATAAAAAAAAATAATGTTCTTAATTGCAAACGATGCTCTTGTAACAGAAATCGTAATCACTCACCAGCGATTGAACGCAAAAATCGCATCGGGAAACTATAAAGTCTTGATAGCTATTTTGCTGCAAAAGAGAGAAGCTTTCGTGGAAGACTACCGATGTCTAACGAAAGATACAAGGATACGAACGCGAATATACATCGCGTTTATGAGGACAGAGAATAGATACTACAAATTAAAAAGAATCTAAGTGCCAACAGAATACAAAAACATGAAAATAATAATTTTCAGTTTCAATAACAAGTACCAATAGAGCTATTTGATATTCCATACTTTTTAGATATGAAACGATTCAAAAAAATATATTTCAGAGTTTTAAACCTTTAAATCATTCGTAATGAAAATTAATCGACGATCGCGCATGTCCATAAAATTTCGTGATGACAATTAAAAATATTCTTATTAAGATTTCATACAAATTGTATATATACCAAATGTTGTTACAAACTATAAAGAGAAAATGTACATGTTGTCACAGAACGGAAAAGCCATCACGTGCATTCCAACACGTCATTTCAATGCAAGTAGTTAAGTACCGCTTTTCATCTCGCTCAAATTATATTGTTCAATTTGTGTTTCTGGCACATAGACTTTTTAATTCATAGCATTCCATTAGAAACTGCACTTTTCTCGCGATATCGCAATCAATCTGACAAACTAGCATCCATAACAAACTCGATGAAATCGTTATCGTCGTCAATTACTATTACACGTGAATGCCCATCACCCGGAACTGGATGATGATCTCGCCCACGTAAGATCCTGTTACCTTTTCCCGTCCCGGAAAAAGAAGCACGATAAATAATTATCACAGTCTGAACTATATATCTAATTCCTACATGCGCCCTACTTGCAGTACACAGCTTACACGGCTAATCTACACAACACACGACCGCACTTATACTTCAATATTTTCAAAATATTCAGTTCATCGCTATATACGAGACTCATATATATGTATAAATATACAGAGTGTTTTAGACGTCGCGCGTTTTCTCTCGACTGCAGATGCCGACGACTATGATAAGTGGAATATTATCCCAATAGATTTTAACTTGTGTTATTGAATTTTTTCAATATGAATTAAATAAAAGATGTAAAAATTAAATCTTTATTTTCATCTAAATTAAGTATACAAAAAGTAAATATATAAATTCTCAATTTAAGATAATGTATCAATGCTAAAAATAAGAAATTTTTATTAAAAGAAAAGAGAGAAAGAATCGATAATAATTAATTTCAAATCCATTGTCTGCAATGCAGAAAACGCGCGTGCGTGCGTGATGCCCGATATATAAATAAAAAAATGCAACACTACACGCGAGCGAACTGAATCGCTTCTTTATCGCGTCCGCAGAATGTACAATTGAGGATAAATTATTTACAAGCGACATTGAGTCCTCAATAGGCAGGGCCCACATAGAAGAGGTTCAATCGAATTTTTCCTTTCAACTGTAATTTTTTTTTCTTTGTACAAAAAGAAGAAATGCATCTCTTATATTGGTCTGATAATAAAATAGTACCTCGGGCGGAGACTCGGCGTGCAGATCGACTCTCAAATGGAGGCGTCTCCTATCGCACGAGTTCCTTGCGTACATCAGAATTCGCATTATTTTCTTTTCTTTTTCATTCTTTTCATTATGTTATGCACCAATATGGTGTGTACGGTTTAGACACACTCAGGCTCTAAATAATACCTAGCCGAGTTTACCCGTTTTTACCGGACGACTCGTCATCCGGATTCTTCCCGAAAATTAAAAGTGGCCGTTCGCCATTTGTTATTCATCATCGAAAATCATTCCATAGTCCAATTTGATTTCAGACAAGAGTGCGCGAACATACATGTTTAAAACGCAATTACAATCGCAATCGCGTCATTCACTTAAAAGTGCTCCCTAAGAGGCCGGTTATCAATTCGTTTATAGTATTATTTCGAAGAATCCAAAATCGGATTTAATAAAAACCTACGAATACCGAGCCAACATCAGGATGATTTGCAATTAAGTCATTAATCGCCAGTCGCTCCACACAAGCTTAAACGCACAATCCTAAAAATGTTCGTCGCTGACGTTCCAGCCACTTTCACTATTCGCAAAAATACGTCACTCGCAAGACGCTTGGCGGCACCCTTTATCACGCTTATCGACTATTATCGTTATCATCAACCATCGAAATTTACACAGACGAAAAGATGGTTGTCCTAACGCACGCATGCGTTCGTTTTCTCACGCTCACGGTTCTCTCTTGTTCTCGCTTCGCTGGGTCCCGCGGGTCGCCTTACTGTCAGGGTCTGACGAGAGGCTTACCTCCGTAGGGAGCGGGATACTGTCCTGTCAATAGGGGATAGCCCAAGCCCACATGAGTGTGATGATGCGTGTGCACGTGCCGTTGTGGCGGTGGCGACCTATTGTCTTTGCCGAGATTACTAGCATCCACTGCACCCTGCTGTTGTTGCTGATTACCCGGCTGACCCTGTTGCTTGCCGGACGGTTGCTGGCCTTGGCCTGGCGGAGGGCCCGGGCCTGCGACTGACGTAGGCGGACCACTGGGAGGTCGGGCGGGTGTCGGACCTGCCGAAGATGGACTGGCCGACGCCGCGGACGTTTTGGGTGTCGGTGACTTGAGCGCGCGTTCTTGCAGCTCGTGTATCTTATGCGCTTGTGAGTAATACTGACTAGCGTGATGTTGAAGCAGGTCTAGCGCCTTACCGCCAGGCGGTCGACTGAGATCTTCTGGTGCATGATACCTGGGTAATTGGTGAAGGTAGGGATTACTTGAATAAGGACCAGGTACCAACATAGGACCAAGGCCGCGATATACCGGATGACCCGGATCGAATGGCAGCGCGCCATAATGCTGCGGGCTTGGCATGTAAGCACCGGGATGGATGTAAGTGAACTGCGAGGTAGGCGGTGGCGGCGGTCCCTGGGTTTCCATCGTTGGTTTTACACCTTCCTGCTTACTCTTAGAGTCTTCATTCTTGCCGAGATCCTGTGGTTTCTCTTGCTTCGGCTGGTGCTTCGGGCTTGGCGGTGGCGCCTTTGCCTGTTGACTCTGTTTGCTCGATTCCTCTTTCCTTCTTTGCTCACCCGGATACAGATAATACCTCCTATCGTCCTGAACGGGACCTGGTGGAGGTGGCGGTGGTGCCGCTCTTTGACTCTGTGAACCATGATAGACGTGATATGGACTCATTTGATTCTTCATCTCGATACTCTCTTTGAGTATTTGATGATTTTCATGTTGCTTGTCCTTTAGGCTCGGTTGTGGTTGTGGTTCCTGCTTGATCTTGATTTTCTGCTCATGCGGCTCCTGGTCCTGTGACTGCTGACTCTGCTGCTGCTGCTGTTGCTGTTGCTGCGAGACTGGTTGTGGCGGCTGGTAAGGATAACCCGGCATGTAACCGCCATAAGCACCGTAATAATGTGGCTGCTGTTGCGGCTGTGGAACCGGTTGGCTCAACTCCTTCTTCTCCTTTTCCGACACGACGCTTTGTAAACTCGCCATCGAAGGCATCTGTGGTATATTGAGCGGTTTGATCTCCTGCTTGGGCGTAAGGTCGCTCGGCTTCTGGTCTACCACCGGTTTACTATCCGGTACGCTAGGCATCAAATAAGGTGGTTGACCATAGTACGGATACATACTGAAGTGAGCAGGTAAATGCGCCGGTGCCGTGGCTTTGTTGTCCTTCTCTTGGCTTTGCTTGGACTTGTCTGCCGGTTCGGCCTCGAGTACCGGCGCCGCGTCATCCGATATGTCCGAGTAGGCCGGACTCTGTACGTCATCGCGCGTCGAATCAACAATCGGCGCTTCGAGCGGCGACGGATGTGGACTACCGCCAGGCGATTTTCGTGATTTCTTCTTGTAGCCCTGCGGTTTGGAAACACGCGCATCGGTGCTCGTCTTGCTTTTGTCTTGTTCTGGCATCAGCGCCGCCGTAGGTTTTACTTTGAACTGTGGCATCTTTGCCGCGTGTAACGGGTACTGCTGCAAATGCGACTGTACGCCTTGACCCGGATGACCTGGCGGTGGCGGTGCCGTTTGTAGACCCGCCGCTTGCTGCGATACCTGAGTCGTCAGATTCTGCAGACCTGGATGCTGACTGGCTATACTTTGTAAACTAGCCTGTTGTTGTTGCTGCTGCAACCCAGCCGACTGTACAACATGAGCCTGCGCGGGTTGACCCAATTGAGCTGACAGAGGAGGATGCGACACCGATTGTAATTGATGCGCCGGCGGTAACTGTTGCTGAACCGATGACTGCAATTGTTGTTGCTGCTGACTGCCAACGCCAGACTGCAACTGTTGTTGCGGCGGTTGACTGACCTGTTGCAACGTCTGCTGCGCCTGCTGCAGAAGCGGATTCTGCGATTGATGCGCCTGCTGCATCTGAGATGGCTGTGGTGGTTGCGGTATGTTGAGAGGCTGGGGAATGTTCGTGCTTGGATGCGGTGAAGGCACAGGCCTAGGAGATTGACTGGGATGTGGGCTAGGGCTCTGGGGCGGATTTGATGAGCCTAACGACGATTGACTCTGTTGCTGCTGCTGCACTGACTGTTGCTGCACTCTCGACGAGGGTGCTGTGGAAGTAGGAGCTGGCAAGTCATCCTGACCGAACCTTAACACGCCGGGCTTCACGATATTTTTATCCGCGAGTACAGGCGTAGGTGCTTCTACTATACTGGGCGACGGCACCCTCGGTGGCGGCGGCGGCGTTTCCGGGGGCAGTCCTGTCGCCGGTGGACTCGTCGTTCTCACCGGCGTACCCTCGGGCTTATCCGCCGGCGACTTCACTGGCGTAGCTGGACTCGGTGCCTCGATGTTACTCTCGTCGTTCTCCGACATGCTGGTGATACCCTCCTTGGTATCTTCGTCATCGGCAGAACCATGCGCGTGGCTCTGATGATACTTGAGTCCGTTGATGTGTTTGTACTTTTTACTGCAGTTCGGCTCGGGGCATTCGAGCAAAACCGGACTGGCGGGTGGCGAACCACTAGGCGGCGTGGGCGGCGGCGCCCGGCGTTTGTTCTTGTCCTGCTCTTCTTCTGGTCCGCGTGACTTCCGCTTCGCTGCCGGATCCGGTCGCGGCGGCACGAACGCCGCTGGACTCGGACTGGCCGCGGGCGAACCTTGCGCGCCCCGACGACCCTTGCCGCCGTTGCGCAGTTTACTGTGCACGGAACTCCTCGTCTCCGTGAAGTTGCTCAGGTCGTTACCGGGCGTAGAGTTGGCCGCGGCGCGACCGCGCTTACCGCGTCCCTTGGGCGTACGAGCGTCCAGGTCGCTCGTCGGCGAGTCGCAGAAACGTGGTGGCGCCCAATCGTGACGCGTACAGTCCAGCAACGTCCCTACGTACGTTTTACCTCGCCACGTAACGTTTACCACTAGTACACCTGTAATAAAGAAAACATGAAATAATAATTTGAAGTAGTAATAATCAAATATTGAAACCCTTCAAAAATTTAATAATTATTTTCAATATTCTGATGGTAATCTTTTGAAAACTATCTGAGACAACAATATAATAAGTATGTTTGATATTTTCAATTTGATGATTTCTGTGAACGTTGAAAATATTCAGTATACATATACAAATAAAATATATATTGTCGGCTATAAATTTTGTGATCCTTTATGAAAATATAGTAAATTTAATAAATAGATTCGACATAATGTAATTTGCAACAATTCTCTGCATTTTCTAAATATTTCAAACATAAAGTATTATATGTCTGGGAAATCATATTTTTTATATATTATATATTAAAATGTGTAATTTAATTCTACACATTAATATATAAAATAATTAAAATATAAAATATATAAAATACATTAAAACACATTAAAATATAAAATATATAAAATAAAATATTTGTTAAAATTATTCACAAACAAGAAATGTATAATTGATTAGTAAATCAATTATAGTGGATATATGTTAGTGAATAATTTTAACTTTTAACAGAGAACATGAAAAAATATTATATGACGTGGGTAATGTGGGAAAGCAAGGAGTTTGCAGGATCCCATGGGATATAGAATTTATTACAAGTAATATTATCAAAATATAATGGTTTACAAGTGATCAATGAATCTACAAACTAATATAAAAATTAAAGCAAAATGAAACTTTTTATTTATTATACACGGCGAGTGAAGTTTTATTTGCATCTGCATAAAAAGTTATAGAAAAGTTACGATGACGATGATCTGACAGATCCTATGTTTCCTGTCGAAATTGAAAAAATTAATGAATTTGTTATTTGTCAATAAATAAATAAATAATTGTCAGTAAATAAAAAAAATAATTTCGCATGCCATGATTTAGCACAACGCACAAAGTTTAATTTGTTATTCAAAGAAATAGAAAATTATCAAAAATCTATTTTTGAAGGAAATAGAAAAAGAAAAGGAAAATGACGAATCTTGTGTTGGATAAGGAAAACAAATACAATTCGTATCGTTATAAATACATATCGTTTCGCTGACGGACAATGTGAAAGTTATGACGAAGGAAAAACCGGTCCTAAAATACAGCGGTTTCAACTCCCAGAGCAGCTTCATCGCGTAATAAGTTCCATGGCAATCTGATGACGAGCTAACTCGCGTTTGTGTCTCTTCTTTTCCTCTCATCGTGTTCTTCGTTCCTGCACGATCAGCGTCGTTAATTGAAAATATCTCGGCCGTGCACGTGCAAGAAAACCCAGCGTCTCGCAGGTGATCCCGACGATAAATGCTGCAGGTGTTCCCAGCCGCGAAATTCTCGTCTTTCATACAGAGTATGCGGCTAAATCACTTTCGCGTTCGCGTAATAGCTAAAGTCGACTTGACGTAAATCGAATCGCCTCCATGGGGGGTGTCGCACCAGATTTAAATGTCAAAGCTTCGTGAAACGTGCAGGGTGTGTATGAAATATATGAAATAAACCTTCAATCAACGAGCGAAAAAAAAGTTTGAAAAATTACTTTCTTGAAAAGTGATTTCTCGTACAATAACATAGAATTCTATGAGAAAAAAAGAAAATGGATTTTTTGTACAATTATAGCAAAGTTATTACAAATTCGAGATAAAAAATGGCTAAAATATGTGATAACAATATCGAAATAAAACGATCAGAAATAAAATAAAATTTCTATTGTACAATAATTTTGACGAAAAAGTTTTTTTATTTCTAACGCGAATTTGAATTAATTTTCTCCTTCGAGACGCAATCCACGTCTTTTGAGAAGAATACCGTTTAAAAATAGATACCTTCGTCAGAATGAGAATGTCAGGGGAAGATTGTTGAAATGAGCTCGTTGTTTGCATCGAAGCGGGGTTTCCTCCGCGAACGACGTGAATCGTGACTAGAAATAAAGGGACAAGTAGCGCAGCAGAAAGGAGAAAATAAAGAAACGGACGCACACAAAGAGGACAATAAAACAGCGGAAGTTCCAAGGCGACCAAGCTCCTAAAAGCCACATAACACCGTGTTTCTACTTCATCTGTCAGACGTACGTATACATCTCGTTCTTTCTTTCTCTCTCTTATCTCGAGAACGAAACGACATGTTTCTTGTAGTTTCTTCTCTATCCTGTGGTTCTTGCCCCTCATCCTTTTGCCCTTTTTCTCACCCTCCCTTACTTGCCACGCGGCAGAAACCTCGGGGCATTTTGGTTGATTGAGTCGTCCCCTCGCGCGTTGACGTCATCCCCATTTACCGCGAAAGATAAACATATAGGTGAGCACTAACATCGGCGAGGGATGATGATAAATCCGTGCATCTCACCCTCGACGTGCGCCTTTTCATCCCGTCCGTTTTCGAGCTTCGTTTCCTCCCGCTTCACCGATCTTGCGCTACTTTCTTTCCCCTTTTTTTTCTTTTTTTTTTCATGTAGAGCCTGACAGCAGTCGAGTGGCGAGCAAATGACTAATTAGCCGCTAATAGCTCAGCAAGCGTCGAACATCAGCCTTATGTCGGTAAGCGTTTCGCTTTGAACGGGAAAGTAAAACGACTTTCGTTCAAGAGAGTTTATTAAATAATAATACGTTTCAGTAAAGAAAATATAAGAGACTGAACTAATAAAAAATAAAAATTATTTTAATATACAAATTTGAAGCGCGTGTTAGTGGAATAAATGAATAAATAAGTGAATAAATAACAATATTCTATTTTTTAATTCTATTTTAATTCTATTTTTTTAATTCTATTTTTTAAATTTTGAATTAATTCAAGACAATGCTTTATATATTTCAAATTTAATTATTAAAATATAAATAAAATTTTATTTTATTATTATTTTAAATTTTATTTTTTGAATTTTGAATTAATTCACGGCAATGCTTCATGTATTTAAAATTTAATTATTACAACATAAATAAAAATATCAATTTAACTATTAAAATACGAATAAAAATAAAAATTTAATTATTAAAATATAAATAAAAATAAAAAAAGGATCGCATATTTGATAACAGTTTGTGTGTTACAACTTATAGCATTCTTTGGTGCTGCATAGCATAATAGTAATTTTACAAATGAGTTTATATCTATTTATCTTTAAATCTTACACTCGGCCTCGCGTGACCCCCGGGGTTCTCTAGGTTTAATAGAATTTCTCGCGGCACAGTAAACGAATAATCACGTGGTCCGCCCCGAAGAGATTGCGGTCGCGGCAGCTGGTAGCAAAGAACACGAAGTCACATCCAGTATTATTTGCCCGTTGCTCTTTTGCGGCGAATGGACGACGTCGGCGCTGTGGGCCGCCTCCTCGAGTTTCCTCTTCCTGGAAGCCGGCGAACGATAAAGGGGCTCTTTTCCGAAGCGGGAGATTTGCGGTCGTGGTCAAAGGAAACCAGGCACCACCGGACGAGGAAGAAAAGCGCTCGCAGCTTCAGCATAAAACGACGAGTTAATATTTCTCGTGAGATATCGTCGAGCGATATCGTGATATCTCTCGGAGTCAAATCCTGTCGGCTCAGAACAGCTGTCACGTGAAATCACGTCCGGTATTATTCGCTCTTCGAGCGATGACAATCGAACACGTTGCTCTAAATCGAGAGATCGCTTTCGGCACAAATGGAGTTCTCGCATCGAATGTTCGTCACGAAGTACCTTCCGAGATTCGAGCAAGGTGGATGTCTCATTTATCAACATGTCGAGGGAAATGTCAATCTGCTAATGTGTATACAAGGCATTCCACATCTAATTTGCGATTTTGATGGATTAAATGGATGGACAAAGTTAAATCCTAGTCAGGAAAAATTGATAGATATTGATTAAGACTATATTTGATAAATGCAAAGATAAAAGAAACAGCAGTGATTCTATATACAATATATTACATTGTTTATATTATAATATTTCATACATATTTGTAATCGCCAAATTACAAATATGTATAACTTTTTTTATGTATCTCATTGTTTTATCACATAAATACTTTCATATATATTCAGAATCAGAAATGTTTTCCTACTTAAATTTACACATTTTGTGCAAATTTTGAAGGAAACCCCGATCTTGAGTGCACAAAATAACATTTACAATTTAAAATATTAAACCTCTGTTAAAAATAAAAGTAAAATTTGTTAAAAACAATATTTAAATTTTGAGTTTTCTGCAAATATATTTTTAAAATTTAGATTATATTAGAGATATCTGATACAGAGTCGTGTATATGTGTGTGCATATGTGTTACGTGTGATGCGGTTGAATGATATCTCGACGATATCTCGCTCGATAGAACCTGCAGAGCGGAATGGAACGATGCGGCTGCCAGGTGAAATGTGAAATCACAGAGCAGCGTTATTTGTCGTCTCCGAATGGCGGTCGCCCGTGGCGGCCAGAGAACAACATTGACCGAGATCAGTCTGGATATAAGTGGATTTCCTTTCGGCTCACAATCGCGGTGGGGAAGGTCTTTCAAAATCGAGTTATATTCGAGAAAGCTTTAGTAAAAGAAAAAAGTACGCGCGCGATATGCCTCAAAAATTCTCTCTATAAAAAATGTGTTCAAGCTTATTATACGAGTAAAACATCCACGCAGTTTATAATGATAAATCATGATATTAATTGCACTGCATAGATTAATGAATGTAAAATTGCACTGCATAGATTGATGAATGTAAAATAAAATACTAGATTGTTCCAATCTTATCTATTTTATAGCAATCTAGAGCACCGATCTTTTCTTAATCGATTTCCGATTTAATCATCAAGCATAAATTTACTTAGTATGTTAAAGGATGGATTAAATTTGTATGTACAACCATCTCTAATGACAATTTCTCGTCTATCGATCTTGACAAGGAAGCAGACATTTCAAATCCGAATCTCAAAGAGCCTGAGAGGAAGCGACATCTAGTAGATGGGATACATAGGAAGGGAAGATTGTAAGAGGAGAAGGAGGAG